GGTGATATGTGTAAAATATCATCTCCTTTTTTTTTTTGTTTTGTTTTGTTTTGCTTTTCAAAAGCTCTGTATGGATTTATTGACCTTCTTCCTGTCCTTTTTTTTTTTTTTGAGATGGAGTCTTGCTCTGTTGCCCAGGCTAGAGTGCAGTGGCACCATCTTGGCTCACTGCCACCTCTGCCTCCCAGGTTCAAGCAATTCTCTGCCTCAGCCTCCTGAGTAGCTGGGATTACAGGTGCCTGATACCATGCCAGGCTAATTTTTGTATTTTTAGTAGAGTTGGGATTTCACCATCTTGGCCAGGCTGGTCTTGAACTCCTGACCTTGTGACCCACCCACCTCAGCCTCCAAAGTGCTGGGATTACAGGCATGAACCACCATGCCCAGGCTTTCTTGTCCATTTTTATAGCCTTGAGGTGTTTTATAGAATTCCTTTTTAACAGTACCCTGGTCTGCCTGTACACAGGCCGTGTTTGTTAGGATGAGGTTTAAGAGGGTTTCTGAGTCCTTTTATTTTGTGATGCTCTTTTCTTTTTCTAGAACTCTAACTTTTCTCTTTTTCTTTCTTTTCCCTATTTAACACTGCTGTGGTTTGAATGTTTGATTCTTCCAAAACTCATGTTGAAATTTAAACCCCAATGTGGCAGCATTGAGAGGTGGGGCCTTAAGAGGAGGAAGATGAGGCTGGGCGCGGTGGCTCAAGCCTGTAATCGCAGCACTTTGAGAGGCTGAGGCGGGAGGATCACAAGGTCAGGAGATCAAGACCATCCTGGCCAACATGGTAAATCGCCGTCTCTACTAAAAATACAAAAAAAAAAAATCAGTTGGGTGTGGTGGTGCATGCCTGTAGTCCCAGCAATTCAGGAGGCTGAGGCAGGAGAATTGCTTGAACCCAGGAGGCAGAGATTGTGTCACTGTGCTACAGCCTGGGGGACAGTGTGAGACTCCGTGTCAAAAAAAAAAAAGTAAAATAAAAAGAGGATGAGGATGAATGAATCTACTCATGAATTAATAGATTAACAGGTGGGTTAGTTAATAGATAAAAGTGGGTTAGTTATCAAGAGAGTAGGCCTGGTAGGCCTGTTATAAAAGCCAGTTTGGCGAACTCTAGCCTCTTGCCATGTGATGTCTCTCACCACCTCAGGACTCTGCAGAGTCCTCCCAACAGCAAGAAGGCCCTCACCACGTGTGGCTCCTTAGCCTTTGATTGCCCAGCCTTCAGAACAGTAAGAAATACATTTCTTCGTATTATAAATTACCCAGTCTTTAGTACTGTTATAGGAACAGAAGATGGACCAAGACAAGCACCCAGTTGCCATTGGGTGCCCCATGATCATTTTTGCCTTTCCCATTCCCGGCCCCAGAAGTTGTGCAGTTTGAACACTGCCCTTTGAATCATGTCTATCCTATTATTATTATTTGAGATAGAGTCTCACTCTGTCACCCAGGCTGGAGTGTAGTGGTGCATTCTTGGCTCATTGCAATCTCTACCTCTCAGATTCAAGCAATTCTCCTGCCTCAGTTTCCCGAGTAGCTGGGATTACAGGCGTGTGGTACCATACCCAGCTAATTTTTTGTATTTTTAGTAGAGACAGGGTTTCGCCATGTTGGCCAGGCTGGTCTCGAACTCCTTAGTGTTCCGCCTACCTCGGCCTCCCAAAGTGCTGGGATTACAGGCATGAGCCACTGTACCTGGCCTATTATTAATTTTGTAACCTTTATTTTATTTTATTTTTTTCAGATAGAGTCTCACTCTGTTGCCCAGGCTGGAGTGTAGTGGTGAAATCTCTGCTCACTGCAGCCTCTGCCTCCCAGGTTCATGTGATTCTCCTGGCTCAGCCTCCTGAGTAGCTGGGATTACAGGCACCAGCTGCCACACCTGGCTAATTTTTGTATTTTTAGTAGAGACAGGTTTTGCCATGTTGGCCAGGCTGGTCTCAAACTCCTGACCTCAAATGATCCTGACCATGCATGAGCCACCATGCCCAGCTGTATCTATCCGTTTAAATTCCATGTGCTTTGAAATTCCTTTTTAATAGTCCCTGCTGTGACCTGCTAAGACACTTTTTAAAGAATTTTCTATCTTTGGGTATACTTAATCATCTGACAATAATTCTAGACCAATATAGATCACTTTCACCAGCTGCCTTCTGTACTGTCCCCACCATTTCTAGGAACTGGGTTCGCCTTTGTTCTCCACAAACACTTGTGGTAGGGTGAGGACAGGAGCATGAGAAAAATCCAGAGTTTTCTGACTTTCCTCTTTTTCTTTACAGTTTTGAAGAGTGATTACTTTTCTGTTTTATGTTCTGTCTTCAAGTTATAGAAAATCTGCCTTTTGTGTACCTTCATTTTTCCTTTCTCATTGTTTTATATCACTTTGGGAGGAAGTATTGGGAGACAGGTAACTGGGAGGCCTGTATTCTTTTCAGTTACCCCAAAAGCTAACTGAAAAACAAACAAATATGAAATTAGCTGGGCATGGTGGCACAAGTCTGTAATCTCAGCTATTCAGGAGGCTGAGGCAGGAGAATCGCTGAAACCCGGGAGGCGGAGGTTGCAGTGAGCAGAGATCATGCCACTGCACTCCAGCCTAGGTGACAGAATGAGACTCTGTCTCAAACAAAACCCACAAAAAGCAAAACCCAAATATGGTTAAGGTGTTCTTCTGTTCTTGCTCTTGCTGGGGAGAAGTATAGACTGGCCAAACAGTACTTAACAAAGTCCTGTTAATTAAGGACATTTAAGAATTATATAATAGTTATTATCCTTCATTGTTTAGGGATACATTTTCAATAACCTTGCCTGGGAAACAGAAGCTTTAAAAAGGTATTTTTAATTTACATGATAAAGTAGCCTGATGTAGCTAAAACTCTGATGTCAGATAATGGCATTTGCGAAGTCCTGTGATGTCATATGGAAGGCAAATGCCTGCAGTTTCTTAGTTCGCTGTGACACGTGCGTCATCAGGAATGATCTCCTTGGCTCTGGTGTGGTTGGCACTGACACTATCCCTCTCTCAAAATCTCCCCCATGTTATTTGCATGGAAACAGCCTCCCACCCTTTCATTCTGTCCTCTGTCTCCCTTCCCTTAACCCACACTTCTTCATGACGTTGATACTGTATTTGATATCCAAAAATGAAAGCATAGTTCAGCTTTGGGGTTCAAACTGATGTCTGAGTTTTTGTGGGCTACGGCAGCTCGTTTTAATAAGAAATATGGTTTTCACTAATCTTGTCTGCAGAGAGGGACGGTATGGAAATTGCGAGTAAGGGAAACTTTATATTTCAATGTGTCATCAAGGATCTGGCTTAGCAGAGGAAGAAGAGGCCCTTTACTGCGAATCAACGTGCAGTTTCATGTTTCTGTTTTCCAGTTCCAGAATGGGGTGCTCAGAGCCTCATCCCCAGAGAGATCGGCACACTTCCACATCCTGCTGACACTGACTCTGACATAGACCAAGACGACACTGGGGGCTGCCCGTCAAGGGGCCATGCCTGTAAAAGGTCATTTCATCAATGGAGAGGGATTGGATGCATCCCTCGGTCTTCCCTCACATGGCATCCTTAGTGATGCAATGGTTAGAGCTTCATGACTGCCAGCCAGAGTTGGGTACGGGCTGGTGTGAAGGAAAGTGGGAGGCTCTGGGAAATCTTATCAGTTTGCTTTGCGACATACAGACCACCCCAAGACTTGGTGGTTTAAAACAAGAATTTATTTATTTAGCTTTTGATCCTGTGGGTTGGCAACTTGGGATGGATGTAGCTGACCCTGTGGGTGGTTCTCTTGGTCTCAGCTGAGATCCCTTATGTGTCAGTGTTCAGCTGTGGGCTGGCCAGCTACCAGCCACTACTCACCAGCCATGAAAACCAGGGAATATGCTGACACTATGTAGTCTCTGAACAAGGCAAATTTAGGTTGGCTCTTGCATAAAGGCCTGTGGCCTAATCTAAAGCGATGGTCCAACTAGATGGGCCCCGATGGTCCTCGGGCCTCACCACTAACCATTACCTGGTCCTTGCCTAGTGGTGTCCTCACTGTTCAGAGCCCTGGTGTTTCTCACAGAATCATGAGTATGATCTGGATTGTGGAGCAATAGAAATAACTGTCTAGTGATCCGGTAAGCTCTCTCCAGATAGGATGCCTCGGAGAGTAGTGAGAGCATCATTGGAAGTATTCAAGCAGACTCAGAGATTCCATGAATATTCTAGGTTCTGGTTTAGAGGTTCATAACTTGGAAAGCCAGCCTGCCAAGGTACCTGGCCTCTGTCCCTGAAGAATCAGATTCAGGCTCATGAGCTAGATACTTTATGACCTGGCTGAAACAACCTAGGACATGATTGCCTGAGATCTCCCTGTTAAAGAGCAGTGCAGAGTTGCCGACCTCCCAGGTTGGCTGCAGCCCTTGCCACCTCCCCAGCCACACTGTGCCTGTCTCCACCTGGCCCTGTGTCACTGTCTACCTGACCCTGTCTACGTAGCCCTCTGTCTGCTCCCTGACCCAACTGCCTGTGCTACCCCAGTGCCTACCCCACTTCTGACCCCGCCAATCTGAGCCCTAGGTCCAACCCCCATTCACAATTCTCTGTCACTCAGGCTGGAGTGCAGTGGTGCCATCTCACTCACTGCAACCTCTGCCTCCTGGGTTCAAGTGATTCTCTCCTGGGCAGCTGGAATTACAGGTGCCTGCCACCACGCCCAGCTAATTTTTGTATTTTTAGTAGAGATGGAGTTTTTAAACTAGGCTGGTCTCAAACTCCTGACCTCAAATGATCTGCCTGCCTCAGCCTCCCAAAGTGCTGGTGGCATGAGCCACCACACTTGGCCACAGTCCCTTCAATTCTAATAGCTTGTGATAGAGCCTCACACTCAGATGACAGGAAGTCTAGGCTACAATTAGGTGATAATTTGTTGTTGGTGGTGGTGATGGGAATCTGAAACAACGTATTATTAAAGTTGGAACCAATGATTGGAGTGAACTCACTGTATTCATTCCTTTAATTGAGCAAATGTTTATTGGGTTCCAGTGCAAAGAGTCCTGAACCAGGAGAAAGAAGACCCAGGTTTGGACCCCAGCTCTGCCAGCATATCAGATATCAGTCAGAATTGAGTCAGGAGATGAACACCTTAAACCTTCGAGGTTTTTTTATTTTGAGACAGAGTCTCACTTTGTCATCCAGGCTGGAGTGCAGTGGTGTGATCTTGGCTCCCTGCAACCTCTGCCTCCCAGGTTCAAATGATTCTCCTGCTTCCGCCTCCTGAGTAAGCTGGGACTACAGGCACCCACCACCATGCCTGGCTGATTTTTGTATTTTTAGTAGAGATGCTGTTTCCATGTTGGCCAGGCTGATCTCAAACTCCTGACCTCAGGTGATCCACCTACCTTGGCCTCCCAAAGTGATAAGATTACAAGCGTGAGCAACCACAGGCAGCCAAACCTCCTAGCTATTTTAGTAGAATTCAATATGTGAAGAATTGTTGTCTAGATACGTGCAAAGGCGAAAAACAAACTCTCAGGTATCGTGGAAGGCAGTGACTGCAGGAAGCAGCTATCACCCTTAAGCCTGGGGAAGCAAAGAGTAGAAGTTGAGATTATTAAAATTTAGAAGTTTAGAGGAGAAGCCCCTCAGAAGTGAACCTCAGAGCTCCATGGAGGGGACTCCAGGGGACTGGAGCTGGTGCCTCTGAGGGAGCATCATGTGGCTGGCTCTGCAGGAATCAGTAAAACTGCAAGCTTGGTTCTTTCGCTGCTGAGGGAAGGAACTACTCCTGCCTGGGTGAAGCAGTGTGCCAGAGTGCTGCTCATAGAAACAGGAAACAGACAGGAAAGAGTCTGTTTTTTTCTCCTAAGCCAGTTCTGGTTCGAGCGTTGGACCTGGAAGACTGTAGGCTGTTGGGTAAATCATTTTCAACCTCTAGGCCTCAGCTTCCTCATCTGTAGAAAGAGGCTCTGGAGAGGGTGGTCTTCAAGTTTCTTCCAGCCCTCATAATCTAAATTATTCTATGTAGGAGAAAAATCAGAAGGGCCCTGTCCTTCTCCCTCCTCTGGCCTCTGCCCCCTCCTGGCAGAGCTTCTTGAGGAGCAGTTGGCAAAGCAGAAATGGGGCTTGCAGAGTCCCCCAACATCTAACTGTGGGGGATTTGGAGCTGACAAGCAATAACTCAATAACCGGCCCAGCCTTTCACGAGCAGAGGGGTGGATACGTCAGTCGTGTTTCTGATCACTGGTTATGATCACCATCCCTAAGGTTTTCCCAGCCGTGATGTTCTACAAGATTGGGCTTTTCTACATCGAAATTTCTAGGTGGTCTCAGAGGTGGAGGAAGGGAAGAAAGCAGGAGGCTGAGGGGATGGGGTAAAGGAAGAGTCATCGTTTCACTCAAACCCCACAGAGCAGCCAGGTGCTTGGTGCTATGAAGGTCTCTTGCCAGAGCAGAAGGCAAGCAGCCTCTCTAATAAATCTCTTTCCTGGGCTACGGCTGTTTGTTTGTATTAAAACAGGAACATGATAACAGAGCTATAAGTAGCTCCATGCTCAGCTGTGCAAGGTAGGGAGCTACAGCACTGAATTCAGTCACCGGAGAAAGAAGCTGAGGTCCCCTGTCAGCCCAAGGATGAGGGCTGGGCCGTCTGTGGATAGCAATGGGCTTAGGTCACTGGGTTTGTCAAGCAACCGCAGAAGCTGCTGGGTCAGGTGAACCTGAGCTCCTCCTTGATGGGCAAACACAACTTGGACCGTGTCCTCCATTGATGCAGAACCCAACTGCCAGAGGCCTCTGTGGCTGGGGGGTGATGCCCCGGCAGAAAATGCGGTTCTGATCTGAGCTTGCTGGTCTGGTCTGGAGAAACAACTCAGAGCCTGTAGGGGCGTGGTCATGATGACACTGCCTGTTGGAGGCAAGCCTTATGAAGCCAGTTCTGGTTCGAGCCTGGGAACTGGAAGACGGTGGGCCACTGGGGAAATCACTTCCAACCTCTAAACCTCAGCTTCCTCATCTGTGAAAAGAGGCTTTGGAGGGAGTGGTCTTCAAGTTTCTTCCAGCACTAATAATCTAAATTATTCTATGAAGGAGAAAAATCGGAATCTATTAAACTTATAAAACAGGTACATTTCTATCATGTTGCAAAAAAAGATAATTTTTTTCAACGGAGAATAAAAACTCTAATAGAAAACATGATGTGATTATCTAACATAGCAACAAATCCCAATAGATCGTTACTAGTGTAAGGGTTATTTCTCCTGTAAGGTTTATTGCCGAGTTTAAAAATGAAGAAACTGAGGCCAGCACAAGAAAATTAAATGACAATTTATTTAACTCCTGGGCGAGGTTCCATGGTCCCTTGGAAAGGGGCCAGGGAAGTCGTGCCTGAGTCCGCTAGGGAGTGAAGGCATTTGATTGGCTGTGGAGAAACAGGATGTGGATGGGGCAAGCTGCTATTGGTAGGTAGGCAGGATTTCTGGTGAATGGGCTAGGTGCCAAGTGCAGAGTTCAGTGTTGAGTGCAGATTCTGGTGCGGGGTGCAGAGGTGGGCGTGTGTTGAGTGCAGATTCTGGTGACGTAATTTTCAGGCATGGAGAGGGATGGGTGTGTCCGAGCGCCCGGTGAGGCAACCGGCTTTACAACTAGGCTGTACTCACCGAACAGTATGGGGTAAAGACAGTGGGCAAGTTGACCCGGTGCGGTTGGCTCACGCCTGTAATCCCAGCACTTTGGGAGGCCGAGGCAGGTGGATCACAACGTCAGGAGATTGAGACCATCCTGGCTAGCACAGTGAAACCTTGTCTCTATTAAAAAAAAAAAATACAAAAAGTTAGCTGGCTGTGGTGTCAGGCACCTGTAGTCCCAGCTACTTTGGAGGCTGAGGCAGGAAAATCGCTTGAACCTGGGAGGAGGAGGTTGCTATGAGCCGAGATTGTGCCTCTGCACTCCAGCCTGGGTGACAGAGTAAGACTCTGTCTCAAAAAAAAAAAAAAAAAAAAAGGTATTGGTCAAGCTGCAAAACCTCTTTGAGTCTTTGTCTTATCATTAAGAAAACAACACAAGACCTGTATGATTTTTTTTTTTTTTTTTGAGATGAGGTTTCACTCTTGTCACCCAGGCTGGAGTATGGGGTGTTATGGGGCTATCTCAGCTCACTGCAACCTCTGCATCCCAGGTCCAAGCAATTCTCCTGCCTCAGCCTTCTGAGTAGCTGAGATTATAGGTACCTGCCACCATGCCCAGCTAATCTTTTGTATTTTTAGTAGAGACAGGGTTTCGCTATGTTAGCCAGGCTGGTCTCGAACTCCTGACCTCAAGCAATCCACCTGCCTCAGCTCCCCAAAGTGCTGGGGTCCTAGCACTATCTTCTACCTGCTCCACCCGTGGTAGCTTCTGCACATTCTTGCTGCTGTGTTGGTTCTCATGTTTCCGTTTCCCTTGTATTGCAGACCTGCTCATAGGGCCCAGTTCCCCAGTTATGCTCTTGGTCAACTTGGCTGTGGTTCTGGCTACCCACTTCTGCTAGGCTGCCTCAGCCACAGTGATTAGTCACCTGGCCCAAACCTGTACCTTCCACTCTCCTCCCTGATTAAGGAGGGGGATGACATGAGCTGGTACCTTCCAAACCAGCTTTTGTTGCCAACAACTAGAAAAACCATGCTCTGTTACAGATGAAATAAACAAGAGATAAAGACAGGAAGTTACCTTTGAATTCTTTGCAAAAAATCTTCCCAAGGTGGTAGCATCACATTGTTCACTGAACACAGGGTCTCCATCCTTCCTTCTGCTCTCTGGTGGACTTTGGCCAAACCACTGATGTGCACTTACAGGCTTCAGCAGTTCATCTGCTAAAAAATAAAAGACAAAACATATCTCATAGCTTTGCTCTAAGTATGAAAGAAGGAGGTGAGCACCCATTAGAACTTGGCACATTAAAAACAACAAACAAAAAAACCCTCAGTGTTGGCCAGGCGTGGTGGTTCACGCCCATAAGACAAGCACAAAATAAATCAATAAGTGAATTAATGAATGAAAACCTGTCCTGATTTTACATTCATGGGCTTCTATGGCTTTGATAATGTGACACCAAAACACCAGTTGGAAAATAGATTTTTTCTCCAACAACTGTCTTTTAAAGTAAGAAATAAATAAATGCAGTATTTTAATCTTAAAATTAAGATTAATTTAAGATTAAGTTGAGGGAAGAGTTCCGTTTTACCTGGCTATTTAGACACTGTCCGTAGAGCAACCGGGTAGAAAACAATCTTTGTAAATTTGTGGCAAGCCACTTTAAATTAATTAGAAGCCTAGAATATGGATTTTTTTTTTTTTTGAGGCTGAGTCTTGCTCTATCACCCAGGCTGGAGTGCAGTGTGGTACAATCTCGGCTCCCTGCAACCTCTGCCTCCCAGGTTCAAGCGATTCTCGTGCCTTAGCCTCCCGAGTAGCTGGGATTACAGGTGCACACAACCATGCCAGGCTTACTTTTGTATTTTTAGCAGAGATGGGGTTTCACCATGTTGGCCAGGCTGGTCATGAACTCCTGACCTCAAGTGATCCACCTGCCTCGGCCTTCCAAAGTGTTGGGATTACAAGCCACTTTTTACAGATGAGGAAGCGGAGGCCTAGAGGTTGGAAATGATTTACCCAACATCCCAGTCTTCCGGTTCTTGAGATTACAGATATTAGCCATCATGCCTGGCCAATCATGGATAATTTTTAAAGACACACGGTATCATTTCCTCAAGGACACAGAGTAGCTCTGGTGAAGTTAACATCGGATACCCAGCATTAGCTACAGAGAGGGACTGGACTGGAATGATATGTCACTGACCCAGCAAATATTTCAACATAAATGGGTTGGTCATTCACTTTCTTCTATTTGGGCCTGTTATAAATTTACAACCCAACAACAATAGTAATGACAATAAAAGCAGCTGATGACTTGCAGAGAACGCTTAGTGGAACTGAGGAGATTCTAGAAGCCAGCATGTGAAAGGGAAGGCAAGAGGAGGCCTGTTTTGCCACCCGACTCTCACTCTGTCGCCCAGGCTGGAGTGCAGTGGCATATTCTCGGCTCACAGCAACCTCCACCTCCCAGGTTCAAGCGATTCTCCTGCCTCAGCCTCCTGAGTAATAGATTACAGTTGCCAGGCTGATCTTGGACTCTCCGCCTCGGGTGATCCACCTGTCTCGGCCTCCCAAAGTGTTGGGATTATAAGCGTGAGCCACTGCGCCAGGCCTGCCACCTGATTTAGAATGGACTTACATGGAACAATGGGTTTCTAGACCCATGGCCTCACATGAGCAGCAACTCCCATGTCAAGGTCCAGGGACCCAGCCTGTGCAGACGTATGCAGGTGCAGCTTAGGGACCAGCATCTGCTTCTTACGAGCAACTGTCTGCAGGATGGCCCTGGGGACGGTGGTAAAGGGAAGGTATTTGTTTGCTCTACTCACCAGCCCCCTCCTTCTCCTTTAATCCTCCAGCACCAGGGTCTCTGGCTGGTGCAGAACTTAACCAAACCCACCCCTGCACGCAAACATCTTTTCCTCTTCCTTCATCACAGCTTCTCTGTTCCAAGGCCATTCCCAGCAGCCCAAAATGTTAAAAAATAAATAATAATAATAATAATAATAAAGCCAGCAGTGGGTATGGTGACTCACACCTGTAATCCCAGCACTTTGGGAAGCCTGAGGTATGTGGATTACTTGAGCCCAGGAATTGGAGACCAGCCTGGGCAACATGGCGAAGCCTAATCTCTACAAAAAATGCTAAAAGTAGCCGGGCATGGTGGTGCACACCTGCAGTCCCAGCTAGTTTGGAGGCTGAGGTGGGAGGATCACTTGACTCCAGAGGATCAAGTCTGCAGAGAGCCATGATCATGCCAGTGCACTCCAGCCTGGATGGCAGAGTGAGACCCTGTCTCAAAGAAAAAGAAAGGTGAGTCCCTGCATGCCTGAGGCCTTCTTCACCTCTGTGCTCTGAAGCTCTAGTTAAGAGTGGTTTAAACTGCCCCATTCTAAGCACCTTCCCACAGACTTCTTTAAATGCCTCTGCTTTACATTTTCCTCTAGCTTCTTCCGACTCCAAGTTTCTTCTTCTATAAGATGCCCAATTTGTTTGTGTCCCCACGAAATTCACATATTGAAATCCTAACCCTAGTACCTTAGAATGTGATTGCCTTTGGAGATAAGACCTTTCAAGAGGTAATTAAGATAAAATGAGGTCCTGTGGGGGTGCCTGATCCAACATGGCTGTCGTCTTCAGAAGAAGAGATTAGGACACAGACGGGTTCAGAGGGAAGACCACATGAAGACATGGGGGGAAGACTGCCACCCACAAGCCGAAAGGAGAGGACTCAGGAGATGCCAACCCGGCCAACACCTTGATCTCGAATGTCCAGCCTCCAGGATGATGAGACAGTAACTGTTGCTGGAGCCTTCAAATCTGTGGTGGGGTGACAGCCGCCGGAGTGGACCAGAGCAGACTCTCCTCTCTGCTCAGAGCATTCACACTGTCACGGAAGCCCAGTCACTCCAGGCATTTGTGTAGGTCACAGAGTTGACAGTTTCTGGAGGGTGGTTTCTGGAGGGCACTTAATGGATTTTACATGACAGCAATGCACACAACTGGAGTACTGCACATGCCCCACCTGTAAAGTCCCCTGTGCTGCCACCATTTTGGTGAGCCATCCTTTCTCCCTCCCTCCCCCAGTCCTCAGGAGTAGTCCCTAGTTCTCCTTCCTTTGCCAGGGCTTTCCCTGTGTTTTGCCTCCTGATGAAGACTTGCTGCCATTCCCAACTGGTCCATTCAAGACATTTTGCATAGTAAGAATCTCCTTAGAAAAATTCTTCTGTAGCTAGGTATGGTGGCTCATGCCTGTAATCCCAGCACTTTGGGAGGCTGAAGTGGGTGGTGGATTGCTTGAGCCGAGGAGTTTGAGACCAGCCTGGCCAATATGGCAAAACCGCATCTCTACTTAAAGTACAAAAGTTAGCCTGGCCTGGTGGTGGGTGCCTGTAGTCCCAGCTATTCGAGAGGCTGAGGCAGGAGAATCACTTGAACCCTGGAGGAAGAGGCTGCAGTGAGCTGAGATAGAGTCACCGCAGTTCATCTAGCCTGAGTGACAGAGTGAAACTGTCTCAAAAAAAGAAAAAGAAAAATTATCCTGTGGTTTTTTGAGGGGAAAGAGGCAAACAGTCTTGTCTCTCACATTGAACATTTTTTTTTAAACTGGTAGTGGAATTATTCTTCCTCCTTCTCCTCCTCCTCCTCTTCTTCTTCTTCTTCTTTTTAATATAAAACTGGATCTCATTCTATTTATTTATCTATATATATTTATTTATTCTAAAAAAATATATACATGTGCAGAACGTGCAGGTTTGTTACATAGATGTAAGTGTGCCATGCTGGTTTGCTGCATCTACCCACCCTCATCTAGCTTCTTCCACCACCTCCCAGGAGCTCCTAAGGGTCCTCTGAGCTTGGTAAAATGCCTGGTCTCCTGGAAGCCTGTGATGAAATAAATGCTAATTTGTTTCTATGGAGTGGTCCTACCTCGTGGCAGGGGTAAGGAATTTCCACTTGCCTGAAAGGCTCTGCACTGCACAAAAACAGACACTGGCTGCACGCACGCTGAGTGGTAACTCTGGGGGTGGAGGGCGGGACGCTACTAGGCAGGAGGGTCTTTGGGTGGGTGCTCTCCACCCCACCCAAGGTCCGCAGGGCCTCCTCCACCCAGGGTGGGCCGGCAGTTCTGCCTATCAGCGGTCTGGGCAAATCTGCTGCTTTTTATGACCTCACTTGCTGAAACTCAAGCCACGCCTGGGTAAGTTCATTTTGCACACTCCATAAACAGGTGCCAGACTGCTGCATCATCACATTTTTGCAAGTTTGTTTTCTTTTTGTATGTGCGTTTCCACATTATTTACGGTGTAATTTGCCCAGGTGCAAACAGGAAACCCTGGGAGCAGTTGGCTTCTTTTTGAAAGAAAGGCTTGTTCCCGGCCTTACTGCATAAAGGCCAAGAGAGAGGCCAGAGGTTCCTGGGACAGGGCTCCTTGCAAGGGACAGTTCTGAGCAGCTAGGTGCGGCCAATCAGATGGCAGGGGCCTACTTTAGTTTGGATAAGCCTTTTCTGAAAGGAGCCCTGCTGATGTAATAATGGGGAAAATCCCCGTGTGAAAGGCCCTGAAACTGACGGGCTGGGAAATGCTGATTTCACGTGGGCAGAAACGCCTGTCTAATCGCGACCGCTCTGCACCGCCCCTGCCCAGGTAGGAAGTGCAGCTGGCTTGCACCAGTGCGAGGGCGGAGACGCGCTGTTTGCCCGACTGCTTGAGGTGGGTCGGGGGCTCTGCTTAGAACTCGCACAATTCTGAATGGAAGAGGAGAAAGTCCGGTTGCTGAAGGGAAGACTTTCCATGCGCCGGCAGCCTCCAAGTCCAGAACACCCCCGAATGTAAGTAGGAGGCAGTGGTGTGTGCACCTTCGGTTCTGGTCTTGGGAAAGCCCGAGAGGGTGGTGGCTGCAGAGTTCCCTACAAGCGGGACGCAGCCAGGCTTCCCTCGGAGGTTTTGAAATGTGTACCTCACCAGGAGTTTTGCCAGTCTGTTTGGTCCGTTTGTTCAAAAACCTAGTTCAGATGCCTTGATTTTAATAAGGTTATAGCATTTAATTTGGTTAACGATTGTCATGTATTAATATTACTTTCAACCTTACGGTTCAACCTGAATGATACAAGGAAGTTAATAATTGATAAGACAATGATTCTAACACTCACTATTTTCTAATGAGGGATCATCTTCCCAATGAACATAAAAAATAAATGGAAGTGATTAATTTT